TCTACTTTCTTCTCTTGTCTTTAACGTGAAAATACAAGAAAGGAAAGACAAGGATAATTCATAATGAAAGAGACGTTTTACTCTGGCTAAAACCTTGTACAGTATATTAAAAATAATCAAATTCCTCTGGTTAAAAAGAAATGTACAAAACTCGTGTTACTCTGGTTAAAGCCTTGTCCAGATTACTTCCTCTACCCCCCTCCCCACCCCACCCCACCCCACCCTTTACGAGGTACGGATTACTGTGGTTGAGACCTTTACTGAGACTATTGCACTATGCTACCTGGTTGGTTAATCTAGGTAAACCCTTGCCACCTTACTTGAGAATGCTAGTACGTCTGGTCACGAAATATCTCGCCATTGTACGCTTGTGTTCGACACCGTTGCGGCCATTCATTCATCAGGATATTTGGGGAACAAACAGCGTGACCTTATACACATTCAGGCAGGGACCACAGTTATTGATTGCTTAGGTGACGGGGAGCGTGGTGGAGAGGTGTGACGGAGAGGGATGGAAGAGACTGGTTGTGGTGGAGAGGTGGTGGTGGAGAGGGTTTGTGGAGAAGCGTTGTGGAGAGGGGTAATGGAGATGGGTGGTGGAGAGGCGTCGTGGAGAGGGGTGGTAGTGCGTAGGTGAGGGGTTGGTGGTGGTGGAGAGAGTGTGGGTTATAGACCGGTGTTGGCGTCGTTCCCTCCCACAGGTGAAGGAAAGGTCAGGTGTGTTTGTCTTCAGAATGCTAGATGGCTTCCACGATTGAGACATTCGGTTTTACTAGGACAGTTTATAATACCTTTCGTGCCAACCTCTATTGACAGTTACGACCGGTGTAAAGGCATCCAATTGGTGATGTTTATAGACCTGACGACAAGGAACATAAAGATAAAAATGGTTTATTCTATTTGTAGATTTTTAAAAGCGCTGTTTGAAAAGATATTAAATTAATGAGGTAAAATAAACTAGTAAAATTTGAATCTATCCTCCATAATAAACTGCCAGTCGGTAAAACGATACTGCCTCTACCGTACCCCCTAATGTAAACACAAATTGTGACGGCATTACCATGTAAACACGGGCGACCGCAATGCATCTGTAAAGGCCACGTCTAATATAATTCATTTCATGCATTTTTCAACACATTGGGTGAAGTTTGCTTCCGACGTGAAGCCAGCGAATAAAAGTCACCCAAAAATATGCCTGAAGAGAATTTGTTCAACAAAATCATTGAGGACTTGATCACTTTTTCAGAGGAAGACTAGAAAGGGGTTTAGACGTACACAATATTTCTTGTGTCATGTTAAGGTCAGGGAATGTTTTCATTGATAAAGTGGAGTAAACACGACCCACAACTTCAGATATTAATGGAGAATCAATACACTTTAATTCTTACTATGAAACGAATGACTTGATTTGAATATTGGTCAACATATGAAGTTTACATATGGTTTAGCTCTCTCTCTCTCTCTCTCTCTGCGTTTTGCATATATATTCTTACACATCCCGTCCTATTTTTTTTTGTATGGTGCACCACGAGTGTTTGACTATCCCCATTCAATACACAGTTTACCACTATACACTAACACAACCCATACAATCTCCATACAATCCTACGCCATATATACACCATACACGCCTTTCATCTCCCCCATCTCGCCCTCTCCTTCCTTTCATCACTTTTCTCTGTTTCTTCATTTTTCCTTATGTCTCAATCACTTATATCCTCATTATCCATTTTCTCAGTTATCGTTTATTCCGTCATTTTAAAACTCATTTTTTTATTTTTCTTTCTTATTCACTTTCATAATAAACACTATTTTGTTCAGCTTTTATTCTCAAACGATTTCTAATTGTCTGAGTTCTATTTTAATTCTCTCTTTTCATATGTAACTTCCACACTTCGTCATTCTTACCTTGCACACCTGACACATAAATTGGAGTGTCTCTCTCTCTCTCTCTCTCTCTCTCTCTCTCTCTCTCATAACTACATATCCCCTTTATCCACACCAATACCCAGAAGATTACATCAAACCAACTCACCCCACACACACACACACCACCATCATCATCACCACCTTCCCACACACCACTATCACCACCACCACCACCACCACCAACACCACCATCACCACCACTCCCACACAACCAATCACACAGACTATGCGTGAGGGGGGCCTCAGAACCAACACAACGCTCGGTCTATGGACACGAGTACCAAACACATTAAACTTTTTTCAACTTTGTGTAGTGGGTTTGGTCCGCCCAACCCGAGGCGTCCATTACTGAGTTGTGTTTCGGCGGGTTTGCCAAAATCCTCATATTTTATTTACACGGACCGATGCTCTCAGCCCCCTACACCCCCCACCCACCCCCATCTGAAATGTATGTTTTTGGGTACGTGTTTTTTATAGGTTTTTTTTTGTGTGTGTGTTTTTGCACCGTTGTATTGGGTTGTTTTCAATGTGATTTCAGCTATGTTTTTACTTTTTTTTTAACACTTATTTACAGGTTGTTGTATTATTACTATTACTATTACTATTATCATCATCATCATCATTATTATTATTATTATTATTATTAGTTTTATATTGTTTCGTCACCAAAATATGTGAAACTGACTGAAACTAAGAGAGTTGTATATCACTGGTCAGGTATTTGTGCTGTAAATTCACATATTTTGTTATTTTCCTTGTTTAGCCATCACACTAACATTAAGGTTTATGGCTGATCGAAGTACAATGTTTTCAATGGCTATAGTTTCATTCCCAACTTTCCTTCCTTCCTTCCTTCCTCCCTTCCTTCCTACATTTATTCATTCCTTCATTTATTCATTCATTCCTTCCTTCCTTCTTCCTTTCTTCTTTTGTGCGTTCCTTCCTGCCTTCTTTCCTTCCCTCCTTTCTTCATTCTAACCTTCCTTCTTCCTTTCTTCCCCCCTTCCTTCCTTCCTTCCTGCCTTCCTTCCTTTCCTTCCTTCCTTCCTTCCTTCCTTCCTTCCTTCATTCTTTCCTTCCTTTCTTCCTTCCCTCTTCCTTTCTTCTTTTGTTCCTTCCTTCCTTCCTTCCTTCCTTTCTTTCCTATCCTTCCTTCCGTCCTTCCTTTGTTCCTTCCTTTCTTCCTTCATTCAGCATCTTTCTACAGCTATCAATATTAATGTACGTATAACTTTCTGATAAAATATAACTCACCATGCTACTGTTATTCTATCTGTATGTACATGTTCTAGTGAGTGTTTGTCAGATTCATCTAAATAACAACGTGTTTTAGTCAGTTTACAGTAAGAATATAACGTGTTCTTAGTTTACAGTAAGAATATAACGTGTTCTTAGTTTACATTAAGAATATAACAACATGTCTTAGTTTACACGACGTAATTAACACACCTCTCAGGAGCTACACTATACCCATACGCTCTCTAACACGACCTGCATTTATGTCGTTATATATTAAAGAGAATTGCCACTACGCTTTCTATTATCTCCCAGCAACTCAGAGTCTCAATGTGACGTAACCTAACCTAACCCAACCCAACCTAACCCAACCCAACCCAACCTAACCTAAGATGGCTTTCAATCCGTGTATGAAGTGCTGGGCTCAAGATGAAGTCAGTATATGAAGTGCCTTTAGAACCTCTCCTGACCGTCTTGGCCTAAATGACGAGGAACAGATTCCACTCTAAGTGAAGTAGTCCTCCAGTGTTAACTCTCCTCCCCCTCCACCTCTCTCTCGTACACGAATGGAGATGGACGGACATACACTTGTTCTGATTGTTACATACACACGCACACGAGCATACATACATACATACACATCCGCGCACATATACATACATAGACACACACACATACATACACCCACACATATCCCATCTACCTCGCGCTACAAGAGAGAGAGAGAGAGAGAGAGAGAGAGAGAGACCCCAAACAAGCACTATACCACGGCACGTACTGGGATATCAGTAACGCTGTGATGACAAAGCACGTTTTTTATTTATTTCATACTGAGTCATTACCAAGTTCTCAATTTCCTGCTCCCTGCCGGCAAGCTCTGGGAATGAGGGAAAACGACTCACAACCAACACGTTCCCCGGGCCATCTTTATTGGGTGCTGACAGCTTCACGGCATCCAATCAGCATTATGCTTGTACTGCTCTTTTGTGTTGCCAGTACAGATATTGGAATTATGGAAGTGTGAGTTTAATTCCCTAAGGCTTTGTTTTCTTAATTGTATACAAGTAGACTGGAACCAGAAGCAAAAGCAAACACATTAATTAATTCACTCTTATGACTGGACATATGTGTACCCCTTCCACAACACGGCCATGAGATATAAATAGCCATTGACCTTTTAATTAAAGCTAAACAAGACACAAACTATATCTCACAAACTATATCTCGCAGCGCTGTAAATCAAGTCATATGTAATGTGTAATAAGCCAGTACTCAGGGTTACGACTCTACTTTATGTGAAGGTTTATGCCGGCGGCCAGAACAAGTCGATACATTCACCTTCTACTATATACGGCAGCGTTTGTCTCACCCTGTCTCACAACCCGCCACCACCACCTCAATTAATTTCCCGTGGCGCACTACACTCTGTTGTGATTTATATTGCGCAGCCAAAGGTCAACTGTCCACTAGGGTCCACAGTCTCCAAGGATCGCAAGACAACTTTCCTCCTGACTGGTGATTTAGTTTTCCTTTCCTCCTGACTGGTGATGTAACTTTTTTCCTGACTGGTGACATAACTTTCCTTTCCTCCTAACTGGATGACTGTAAGAACACGAGTAACTGGCACACTAAAGCTTATAACATAAATAGCGTCCATATTACACTGAGACTGTACCGTAACTGGGTCCATTCCTCCCCCCGACGAAACACCCTAACAAGTTACTCCCACATGTAGTCTAATACTTTAACAATGGCTTCACTCTTCCACTTAACCTCTAATAAACAGCGCCATTTTCTAAAGTGGTACATTAACCCGTGATCTTGTGTACCCGCAGGACCCCAAGGCAACTCCCCCAACAGCTTAGGTGGTTACAGTGGCAATCTACAAGGCAAGGATGGGATATTTCTTCAGTCAAACCACACCGAGATCACCGCTCAGTCTGGGGCCACCGCTGCTCTTCCTTGCCGCCTGTCCTCACCGCTTGGGGACGGAATGGTGAGTCTTGTCTTTCTCGTTCCCAAAATGTTTCCAATATTGAGGATTTTACTGTTTTCTATGTGAATATTTGATTTATGTTAACCCCTTCACTACAGAGACGCCACTGTTAGTATTTTCTTCAGCTAATGATTTTATTCAGCACAGAAGTAACCCCGTACATAAGTGGTTAAGAACGATTATAATAGTGATTTACTTATTACAGCAAATGAATCCGATTATTTTGATTAATCTAAGTTAAAACAAAAATTTTTACTTATTTTCACCAATAACTTAAAATTCTATTACTCCACAAATTTTCAGGATATTTCTACAGTTTTCTTTCATATGAACACACACACGAATGGCCATTACTTACGGGTCCTTATATTGATGTAACACTGTTATTACTAAGCATCAATAATTAAGGTTTATATAACTAGTCTATCAAGGCAACATAACATATCACTCAACCTCCACAAACTCGTTCAAAATATATCACGTTAAGTATATATTATCTTCAACTAAATTAGGATAAATGCTATCTACTTAATACCATTGATTACCATATTTTTAGAACCTACTGAAAAGGTATTGAGTTTTATCGGGGATTTACGAGGAAAAAGGGAATTGGTATATCGGATGTAAACTTTGAAAAGCTGGAATTTTGGAGGTAAACTTTGAAAAGCTAGTATTTTGGAGGTAAACTTTAAAGAACTGGTAGTTTGAAGGTAAACTTAGCAACTGGTGAGTATCCATTATCAATATATGTGTGACCCCTTCTGAAGCATTGATTTTCGTGACGCCATGGCCGTGTAAGCGTCTCTCTCTCCACCACGTCACTGTCTAAATTAACCATGATACGTCGAGTCACAAAAACGTAATATCGTAATCCTTAGGTGAATTAAAAACATTGTCAATCAAAGCAAGAATAGGTCAAGTTAAAACAGCATTTAATAATCTAAAAGGCTGCTGAAAGGCTTTATATGGCAAAAACTGATGTAAGGGTCAGTATGCGTGGACAATTTTAGCAGACACCAGAAGGAGGTTAGAGACCTTTGAAATGTAGTATTATAGGTGAATGTTAAGAATAAGCTACACTGACAGGAAAACAAATGAAGAAGTACTAAGATTAGAAAAAACTTCAAGAGAAATACTTGAAATGTACAGAAAAATACAAATGAGATACTTTGGTTATATAATTAAGGATGAGGGAATAATAACAAATATTAATGGGCAAAGTTGAGGGTAGGAGGGCCAGAGGAAGGTAGAGACAAGGATGGGTGAATGAAATTAAAAACTGACTCCCCAGAGAGATACAAAACCTTAGAGGATTGATAAAAACAACACCGGGAAGTTAGAGTGGGGGACTGTGGTCGCCAACCCTCAGATAAGTTGAAGGTACTCTGATTCATTCATTCATTCATTAATAACAAAACAATAACAAACATAATACATACATGACAGATAAATATACAAAATCTTTACTTAGTTGTATAAAATAAAATAGATAAAATGAAATAAATAAATTAATGTATCGAGTAAAATTGGAAGAAATAATTACATAAACTCACCTAATTTATCCTCGGTCCCTCTCCGTCGTTGCCTCCACTGGGTATAAAAATAACTCTCCGGACGCAGCAATATTTTAAAGTCCTGGGGGAGAAAAAAAAGAGTTGATCTGAGTTAGTTGGCAAATAACCCTTTCTTTTTAAATTCAATTCTGGGGTTAATATTCAATTTCTACCCTGAATAAAATAATATAAATGTAAAAATGACAAAATTATCTCGTCCAGACAATTATTTTATGTGTTTATTCAATTTTCCCTGTGGGTTTTTTCAGGGTTTTTTTTATATCTTTTCAAAACAGACTAAAATTTAATAATAAAAAAACTCAAAATTCGTAATATGAAAATCAACAATGAGTAATTAGTGGGAATTATACATATATATATACACACACCAAAATTGTACAGTACATTGTCGGAATATGAAGGTTTATTAACTACTGAATTACGTCACTTGTCAGTTGAATATGTTCATCACACCACGTTGATGGTATATTAAAAACGGGGTTAAATTAGTTATAACGGGGTTGTTACTATTACGATTTAATGGATGGTGATAGTAATTGTTGTTGTTTATGATGGTGATGGTAATTGTTTGTTGTTTATGATGGTGATGGTAATTGTTGTTGTTTATGATGGTGATGGTAATTGTTGTTGTTTATGATGGTGATGGTAATTGTTGTTGTTTATGATGGTGATGGTAATTGTTGTTGTTTATGATGGTGATGGTAATTGTTGTTGTTTATTTTGTTCATTATGGTGATGATAATTGTTGTTGTTGTTGTTGTTGCCATTGTTTTCCTATAGTTATGAGAAACAAAAACAAATGCATTCTATCCAGTTCACTAGATCAGTTTTTTACAGCACAGTATATAGTGAAATTTAAGATCTTTCTATTATACGGTTTAGTCACCAAACTTTAGTGTATTTTATTGATGTAATAGTCGTGGTATTTTAACCTGGGGAATAAGTAGATCTTACACTAGACCACAACTGATTGAGTTCAAGGATTATTCTGGTTCTGGCTATACTGATTGTTGTGTTTTCCTGCATCAAGACGCTTATAGCTGCCAGGGTTTACAAGCAACGAGTAATTCTTAACTGTTATGTGAAACAGCTAAAGATAATATTCCCGAGAGAATTTTCATCAACAGTGTAAGTGTGAGGTTGAAGAGAAAGAATTTGTGTAGTGTTTAATTGCATGGAAAAGCTGGTTTAGGTATTTACGTGTTTATGTGATGTGAAAAGTGTTATGCTTTTTGCGGATTTAGTTCACTATTCTAAAATAGACAAATAAGACATCGTTTTTTCTTTGTTCATGGGGAGTATTATCAACGTATATCTATTACTTATAAACATGAGAAACTCTTAAAAATAATGTATATGTATGCGTCATAGTGTCGGGTCTTTAATTTTCAACTATAAATTTTTTACAGGACTAGAAAGCGCTAATTTTCACCAGCAAGGTGTTGAATCATTGCTAAGTGAATCCTCCCCGCTATTAAGATTATTTATTGGATTAGTTCACCCACTTTGTCCCCTCTCGGCTACAAATTATTGATGATATTAGTGGGTCAACATCATGCAACACGAGACTCACTACAAAACTCCACTCTTGAGTGTAAATTACTGAATATTTCATTGACATTGAGGTGTGAAGCAATAAAGTCGGTGATTTAGTAGGAGGAATCAAATAAAGTTATTTACACATAAAAATACAGTCTATGCTTAATTTTTTTACGATATTAACTTATTAATTAAAATTGACTGTAATAAAATAATAATGATGTAATTTGAGTTAGGTGATTCGATTACTAGAATTAAATAGCATCGTTCACTGAAAGGCCTTCCAGTGAACGGTGCTAAATAACACAACTAAAATCTTCAAGCACAAAACACAAGCTCGAAACTATATACTGTTACGCCGTCTCTTAATTTACTTAAATATCCAGGTTCTAGGCGTAACCAAACAAAAAGTGAAGTAAATTAAAAGAGAATAAAAATAAGTAAAGTAAACCTTTAAGAATTTAATTGATTAAATATTAACACAATAAAGAGCCTTGTAGGCCGTCACAACAAATTGATTCACCATCGAAACTTTTAAGACACAAGTGATACTAAACATCGAAACATCAAAAGAATAAAAATAAAGCATTGAATTACGTTAACACTGCATAAACATATAAAAACTATCACTGAAATTAACTAACGCGAAACAACACTGAATTACTTGAATACAACTAAGCAAATACTGATGAACACAAACAGAGACATAAATAGGTACTCACATAGATATACCACATTGGTGGCGACAGGAACAACACAAATAAATTAAGAATAAGTAACAAATGACACTCAAAGGATGTGTACTGTATGACAAGAGGACTGAACTAACTCAAGTCAGTTGGTGGGTCCTATATATAAGGTCGGCTCCCGCCATGCGACCCGCCGGTGGGTCGTTTAACGATGCAGATGGTCGTTAGAGAACAACGAATGATGGTTACAATACAAAATAAAGAAATAAGATGGGCTTGAACAAATAATGACAGTTAAAACCTTAACAGCACAGGGTAAGGTGACTAGAATATATAATAGTAAATTTAACATCATTACAGGAATAATATGGAACATGGGAGCATGTTATATATAAAAAAATAGAAAAAATACGACACGGTCGTAACAATACTTCCTTTAGTTATAAAAAATAAATCATATATCAGGCGAAGGTATACATAGAAACACCTGTGAGTTTTTTTTTTCATCTACATAACTAATACACATGTTCTGGTTACAGGTGTCATGGGTACGTCGTCGAGATTATCACCTGTTGACAGTTGGACGACAGGTGTACTCATCAGACGCACGAGTCGGAGTGAAGGTGTCGCCTGATGGGTGTGACTGGATGTTGACGGTGCGGTGGGTGGCCTCTCACGATGCTGGCCAGTACGAGTGTCAGGTGTCATCCCACCCTCCCCAGGCCCTCATGGTCAACCTGCATGTTGTTGGTAGGTCTTGGTTGGTCTTGTGTGTGTGTGTGTGTGTGTGTACTCTCTCGCTCTCTCTTTATTTTGTCCTCCGTTCCATCACTGTCTTATACTTTACCTCCGTCTCTCTCTCTCTCTCTCTCCTTGGTGACTTCGGGACTACACTATACCACCAATAATTCCTTTCCCGTGTCAACAATTGGACAGCAGTCAAGATTTACTAACTTGAAGTTCGTTTGCTAATCCACAATTCATTGCAAATATGCACAGTCAACGGGGAGGAGGTGAGTAATAAATCACACACACGCTGCTGCCAACTTGAATTATCACGCGTGTCTTCCGCCCCTATTACAAATTGGGGGATCACCTGAAGATTAAGCCCCCATATTATTTCATCTGATGATTAAACACCCTAAAGCTAACCTAACTTAATCTAACCTAACCTAACCTATTTCAACCTAATCTAACCTAACCTAACCTATTTCAACCTAATCTAACCTAACCTAATCTATTTCAACCTAATCTAACCTAACCTAACCTATTTCAACCTAATATAACCTAACCTAACCTATTTCAACCTAATCTAACCTAACCTAACCTATTTCAACCTAATCTAACCTAACCTAACCCTCACCTAACTTAACCTAATCCAACGATAAACTTACATAACCTAATCAATTCGGTTTTTAATCCTCGGAGTTAAATTAAATCTGGGGTGTCTAATCTTCAGATGGCCACTCATATCATCCACCCACGTTATAAACACAGTTACCGAATGACGTGTAATCATCTTAAACATTAATAACTACAGGTGGTCATTAGTCTCTGTAACACCTGGATAATTAAGCTTAATGACTCAGGTAGAATTTATGTGATTAGTTAGTTTTGAAAGGTAGATTTATCGATGTTTTCAGGATATTTTATGGATGTTTTCAGGATATTTTAAGGGTGTTTTCAGGATATTTTAAGGATGTTTTCAGGATATTTTAAGGGTGTTTTCAGGATATTTTAAGGGGGTTTTCAGGATATTTTATGGATTTTGATATTTTATGGATATTTTATGGATATTTTATGGATATTTTAGCAAAGTTTTCAGAATATTTTATGAATGTAGGATATTTACGGATGTTTTCAGGATAATTCAAAGTTACTGAAATCGATGCCTGATTGTATTAGCTTCAGAAGAGAGTATAGAGGAATATTTGACTATTTATTCGAAATTACAGTCTTTTTTACGTTATTTACCAACTATTGTTATTGTTTGTTAATTTTGTTTTCGGAGATACAAAGCCAAAAGTTTATATATATCAACTGTTAAAAATAATTCCAATAATTCATCTGTTTTTGTTTGTTTTATGTATTATAAATATTGTTAATCTACGTATTACTATTTAAATTACCCTGTTATTAATGTTTTTTCTTCAGTTATTTGCACTATAAATTACCATAAATCACACTATAATTTATTCTTGTTGGTAATTGAGGTAACTATTTTTGGAGCTTTTTATCAACGTTGGAATGGACTTAATATCTCATTTAGTATTAGAGTGATTTATAGCCGGTTTGGTTAGGTGAGGTGAGGTGAGGTGAGGTGAGGTGAGGTGACGTGAGGTTAAGCTAGGTTAAGTTAGGTTAGGTTAGGTTGGTGGTAAAGGTGCTGGTGTGGCAACAAGCTAGAGTTAATTAATGTTAAAAAAAACATGAGTTAATGAGTCAATAATAAAAGTGAAGGCTAGGTTAGGTTAGGTTAGGATAGGTGGTATATGTGTGTCTGTGATACACACACACACACACACACACACAAGCTCGCGCACATTATCCCACGTCTTCTAGTCACCAACATTAACCCATGATTATAACCCTTTGACCTATAACCACCACAGCAACCCATGACTACTAACTGTCACTACAACCCACCACTAACCCAAGATCAATAACAACCCTTGACTACAACCCACCAATAACCCACGATCTATAACCACCACCACAGGCCATAACTGCAAACCATCACCACCACAACCCACCACTAAACCTACAACCACCCACATCACTGTTCTCTCACCCACACAGAGGCCCATGCTGAGATCGTCGGAGGAGGAGAGCGGTACATTCACCATGGATCTTCCCTTATCCTCGTGTGTCTCCTTAAGAGCGCCACAGAGCCACCCGTGTATGTGTTCTGGTACCGTGGTGACAGAATGATCAACTATGACAAGTGAGTTATTTGTGGGGGTGTTGGGAGGGTGTGTGGGGGTGTTGGGAGGGTGTGGGGGTGTTGGGAGGGTGTGGGGGTGTGGGAGGCTGTGGGGGTGTTGGGAGGGTGTGGGAGTGTTGGGAGGGTGTGGGGGTGTTGGGAGTGTGTTGGGGTGTTGGGAGGGTGGGAAGGGTAAGCAGGAAAGGATGATGGTGAAGGTGTGTGTTGTGGGGGTGTGGGGAAAGGATGATGTGAAGGGTGTGTTGTGAGGGGTGGGGAGGGTGTGGGGGGTGTTGGGGTGTTGGGAGGGTGTGGGAGGAGTAGCAGGAAAGGATGATGGTGAAGGGTGTTGTGAGGGTGTGGGAGGGTGTGTGGGTGTTGGGAGTGTTGGGAGGGGTATGGGAGGGTAAGCAGGATAGGATGATGGTGAAGGTGTGTGTTGTGAGGGTGTGGGGGTGTGGGGAAAGGATGATGATGAAGGGGTGTGTTGTGAGGGTGTGGGAGGGTGTGGGAGGGTGTGGGAGTGTTGGGAGGGTGTGGGAGGGTAAGCAGGAAAGGATGATGGTGAAAGGGTGTGTTGGGAGGGTGTGGGAGGATATGGGTGAGGGATGAGAGTGGGAGGGCGTGGGCGTTGGAGGAAAGTGTGGAGGTGTGGGAATTTGTGGGTGACAAATGTACAGTAAGTGTGGGGTTCGAGGATATAGGAGAGAATGTAAGTACCGACGTGTGTGTGTGTGTGTGTGTGTGTGACATGATTAAACTATATGAGGTGTGGTGTACGTGGGTGTGTGTATGATATAGTGGAAGGCGTGTAGGTGTGATAATGAGTGTGTTAATACATCGTGTGTGTTTCTGTGTGTCTGTGTAGATGCGAATTGTATAACCAAAAAAATATAGACGATATGAAGTAAGTATAAATATAAATAAAAACAAGATAAAGACAATGAAAGAAAAACGAATAAAAACAAAGTGAATTAAAGACAAAAGGAAGAAATATATCCTCTCTATGTGGTTCAAGGTTGCGTGTGTGTGTGTAGATCATTTTAATGGTCATCTTGTTAGGAAGGCTACCAGGACCACCAAGACTCGAACCACCACGCGACCATAACTCAAACTCGATTTTACCCTCAAAAAAAAAAAAACACTAAAATTATTAATAATGACGAAAATAAAATAATTGTAATGAAGTTAAAATAGTGAAGTATTTTATGACCTCTGAGGAATAATTTAAGATAATTATTTTTAATAGTGTCTCTTAAGAATGATTTATTTCCCGATTAAAAAGATTTATTGTCATCATATATGTTTTATCTACCGCTATTTCCCCCAGTCATCAATAAGTCACTAAAAATTCTCCATGCCACAATATATTCCTGAAGGAGGCGCAGCAGCAGTGTCATTAACGTCACCATAAAGCCTTTATGTTGTGCAGGAATCTATATGTATATTATGTCCTTGAGATGAAAGGTTTTTGAAATTTCCTCCTATTATGTCAATATTATACTCTAGTGGTTTATCTCTTGGCAAACGATCCTGATAGTGTATCCACCTAGGGGTCTTAAAACACACACACACACACACACACACACACACACACACACACACAAAACACACACACAACACACACGAGGTATATGAACGGAATCCCCAGATTTTCTTCTTTATCTGAAAAAAAAAACACTATGTACCGGCGTATAAATTTATATACACCTGACACACGGACACACGCGACGAGCCGAGCAGAGGGAGATAAAAGTTGAACTAACAGGAAGATTCAGGGTTTTTCTACACACTTGAAAAAACATCATCCAGTTATAAATTCATACACAACGGCAGGCCTGGAGCAGATAATGGGAGAGCTTATTGAATGCAATCGGTAAGGTCGGGGCGGCGGTGCCATATTGATAACACCATACCATAAACCTTCGTCCGAATCCCTGCCTTTGTCGCTGGGTCTGGACGCGCAAATATTCAGCGAAAATGTCATCCTGTGAGGTTGTAAATTGTTCCAAATGTCGAGAGGAACTCATGGTTATAGCTTCCACAGGTGAAAATCATAATATGAATTTAAGGTACAGGTATTTACGAGTTATGCAAGTAAAATATATAAGAAATCCTTCCTTTAGCTTTTCTTCTCTAAGTTTTCTTGCTTATTAGTCTGCCATAATCTTTTCCTCGTCTTAGATTCCTCCCCATTCCATACATTCTTCTTCATACACCAGTTACTTTGCTAATTGATGATACCTTGTAAGTGGCATTCCAATACAGACCTAATGGCTAGACGTATTTACCACACACACACAGGTGACCAAATTACCACATATAAATTGACAATAAGACCATTTTTATCACAAACACACGATCTGACCGGCCACCAACCTCCCCTTGCGTGTTGGCTGTGTCGTGCTGCAGCGCCTTTTAGTCAAGAATCCTTCCAAATTTACGACACTCTCTCATGGTATTGAACGATCAACGGAAGAAGAAAAAGAACAAAGACTTTACAGTGTTTGTCAGCTCTAAGAAAGAACCGAGGACGAATTATTAGCCTAGAATACACTCATAAATTCAATTACATTTAAGGTGTATTATACGCAGTTTGTGAGAGCTGGTATGTTCACAGGCATAATAGGTTTGGTTAGGTTAGGTTAGGTACGAGTTGGTGCGAGTGAAAGGTTATAGGGAAAATTATAGTGTGTGTGTGTGTGTGTGTGTGTGTGTGTGTGTGTGTGTGTGTGCATAATTAAAGACTACCTAGGAACACAACACGGGGACATTCTAAAAATAAAAGTGTTGTGTGTTTTAAACCATTACAAAGCGACAACAAACGTACCACAATTGTTAATATGTGTTAGTCACGCGAGATAGATAATTTTATAGACAACAAAACACAAATAATCATGAAAATAATAATATGTAGTGTATAAAAACTTACATCATAATAAATATTTAATCCAATTCAATATAAATTTCATAACGTAATCAATAATAAAAAATTTACGTAAAATAAATTGACCTTCACAAACACTTATATACGTGAATATCTCTAAATACTTATAATTACGATTATTTTACACTTAATTTACTTATATTTATAATAAATTACTATTAAAATTACATGAGAAAAGATTACCAAGGAGTAATCATTAATAACTACTGTAACTGCTGGTTCAGTAGTTACTTACGGTAAGCAGCCAGCCTGATGACGTCATGTGTTCACCTCGCACAAATTAGGTCCGTCAGTGTTTAGATATCACTATTCATATCACTTAATACAATCACAATATGATTAATTATGTAAAGTCATAATTTATAATATTATTAATAGCATTTAATTAAATTTGCAGAGAACGAGATAAGTTCACAGCGAGTGGGAGGGTGACACACGAGCAACGTTTTATTTTCACTGTTTAAACTATTTTCTAAGTTTTCTATTCGTTTTAGTTTATCTCAATAGTTGCTTCAGAGTTTTATCTATCACACAATAACACTAAAATTGCTTCCACAGTAATTAATACAGGTAAATTCACTAAAATTGTTAACAGCCACAGACACACGTGTACAGGTAACAATCAGTGTTTCCTCTGACCGTCGGTAGCTTTGGCGTCTTGGCGGGTGTAACGCTTTCGTGATTTCATAAATTAGTTTTGAATAATTTTTAAATTATTCATAATATAGAACAAAAACAAAATAAACGTAAACATTTTCATTTAAGAATACCTGCAATTTTTTTTGGGACAATCTAGTGTTTAATGTTACGTAAAGAAACAATATCCCTCCCTCCCCAAACCCATACATCTTTCGAAAGTATTTTTATCCTGAGAACCAAAGATAAATTAGTCTCTCCCACAACACATTCACGAGTCAAACACACATTTATCTCTTATTTGGTTGTCCCGTAAGGTTACGGATTGTCAAACACGTTGTACATCAACCTTGATGAAAATATTTATGTAGTTAATGGACGCAACATACGTGGGAGATGTAGCTCTTAATAATTAATACTATAGTTAATAGTTACTGTCTCGTATGTGAACTAAAACCCTGCAGCTGTGTTGTTCAAATATTAATCTATTACAACAACCTCAAAATAACATAGGCGTAGATTAATATAATTCATAACTATTACAGTACTCCTTTACTGTAAGAAAATCTACAACAAATATGAACGAGAAATTGAAGAAGAGTAAAATATGGGAAACCTTATCATTAAAATACAATCAAACCAGACATCCGCCATTACCTAACACGATACATTGCCTTACCTTACCTTACCTTACCTTACCTTACCTTAATTAACAAGACTTTACCTTACCTTACCTTACCTTACCTTACCTTACCTTACCATAATTAACAAGACTTTGCCTTACCTTACCTTACCTTACCTTACCTTAATTAACAAGACTTTACCTTACCTTACCTTACCTTACCTTACCTTACCTTACCTTACCTTACCTTAATTAACAAGACCTTACCTTACCTTACCTTACCTTACCTTACCTTACCTTACCTTACAAGACTTTACCTTACCTTACCTTACCTTACCTTACCAAGACCTTACCTTACCTTACCTTACCTTGACTTTACCTTACCTTACCTTACCTTACCTTACCTTAATTAACAAGACTTTACCTTACCTTACCTTACCTTACCTTACCTTACCCTTAATTAACAAGACCTTACCTTACCTTACCTTACCATAATTAACAAGACTTTACCTTACCTTACCTTACCTTACCTTACCTTACCTTACCTTAATTAACAAGACCTTACCTTACCTTACCTTACCATAATTAACAAGACTTTACCTTACCTTACCTTACCTTACCTTAATTAACAAGACTTCACCTTACCTTACCTTACCTTACCTTAATTAACAAGACTTTACCTTACCTTACCTTACCTTACCTTACCTTACCTTACCTTAATTAACAAGACCTTACCTTACCTTACCTTACCTTACCTTACCTTACCTTAATTAACAAGACCTACAGGTGATATAAGCCTTGACCAGAATATTTCCCCTAAGCCCCTGAGCATTAAACTAGATTGGTATCCTGTACATTGCTTGAGGGAGACGAATATACACACACACGCTAGGGAGATGTGAAGGAAGTTTTACCTGTTGTGTTGAGGCATAAATGGGAATTGGAAAAGGAAATGTAATAAATAAATAATATAAAAATTATTGTGAAAGTTTATGAAAGTTGAGAGAGAAATTAAAGAGTGGTGATAATGGTATTTTGTAATAGAGGTGTTCAAAGGTGTTCTTGTGGTGTTCAGTGATGGTTTTCTTTGTAATGGTGGCATATCACACTACCATAGTCTAACACAACACCACACTACCACTCTACCATACACTCACACCAACCACAACACCACACGACAACTATCAGTCTACCATAACAACACAACCACTACACCACCACTATCAAAACACCATTCCACCATACTGACACACTACTATACCACCTACCACACCACCCTACCACAGTACCACCCTACCACAGTACAAAGCATCCCACTAATGACAGGTTATATTGTGTCTTAACAGGGAACGCGGGGTGACAGTGGATAACTCCCGGAAGTCCTCCAAACTGTACGTGTCTTCAGTGTCCCGGCGAGATGAAGGGAATTATACGTGTGTACCGTCTAATGCTGCCCCAGCCTCTGTAGTTGTCACCGTTATCCAGAGTGAGTAGGGTAGCCTTTCTCTCTCTCTCTCTCTCTCTCTCTCTCTCTCTCTCTCTCTGTTGTCACCGTTATCCACAGTGAGTTGGGTAGCCTCTCTCTCTCTCTCTCTCTCTCTCTCTCTCTCTCTCTCTCTCTCTCTCTCTCTCTCTCTCTCTCTCTCTCTCTCTCTCTCTCTCTCTCTCTCTCTGTTCTCAGTTTATTATTTTCATCAGGAGTAAGTGTCTATCTGTCTCTCTCTGTCCCTTTACCTGTCAGTCTCCTGTCTCGCCTCTCGGGTGATTACTGTCACCAGGTGTGTGTGTGTGTGTGGTGGGGTATGGGTCGGTGGGGGGGGTGTGGGGGGAGGGTGGGTGTCTGTCTGTCTGTTTGTCTGTCTGTCTGTCTGTCTGTCTTTGGTGTATCATGTGTCTTTAAGGCTTAATATTAGCTCGTCTGTCTGTCTGTTTCTGTCTATCTATGTCTACCTTACCTGTTCTTTGTCTCCCTCTAGGCTTAATATTTACATTAGCTGGTATGAGTGTCCGTCTGTCTGTCTGTCTGTGTCTGTCTGGGAGTGTCATGGTAGCAGCGCCGTGAAAGACACTGCTGTCCACATGAATGAAGGTATTGTCAACCCCAGACGGTTGTATCATACTGTCTCTGTCTCTCGCTTTTGTTCCTCCTTGCCTTTGAGATAATCCTTTGTCGTCTCTCTCTCTCTCTCACTCTCTCTCTCTCTCTCTCTCTCTCTCTCTCTCACTCTCTCTCTCTCTCTCTCTCTCTCACTTTGAAAACTTAGAAAATTTTATTATTATTATTATTATTAGTGTTGTTGTTGTTGCTGCTGTTGTTGTTGTTGTTGTTGTTGTTTTAGGTGAAACTTCTTGACGAAATTCAAAAATTAATTCATGTTTTTTTTTTCTTTTTTTAATACTCACAGAAGAAAACCCGGCCGGCCTCCAACAGGAAACTAAGGCGGAAAAGGAAACATCATCCGCCTCATCACCTTCATCATCATCCTCCTCTTCATCATCATCATCATCATCATCATCATCATCATCATCATCATCATCATCAGCAGCAGCAGCATCCTCGTCGGTATCATCTTCAAACAGCAGCAGTGGGGCCATGATGGTGGGGAGAACAGCCACACCCTCGCTCTTCCTCTTGCCGTGCTCCCTTCCCACTCTGCTGCCTCTCTTGACGCGCCATTTCTTCAGATGATGTGTGAACCCGGCACCAACAGGGAGATAGGTAGTTAGATACTCCACCAACCATTAAACTCAGTACTGTTGCCAAAAAAAAATGAAATTACTCTTGGGATAAAGGTACTGGATTCATTTTTAAACCGTTGCAGAGTTTAGAGGAGATCAAACGAGTCATTCTTATGTGAAATGTTGATTTTGAACTCACTCGTGTGATAGTGACGTCATATCCTCCCTTACCAAGAAAACATCAACTTGTTTTAATTATTCAAGCATTAATACCATGTATATGTGTATAGACGAAGGAGAGGTATACATGACTCAATATATCCATGGTTAATGTATAAATTAATAAATAAATACAAATATACTTCCTTGTGTACAGTGGAATGTTTCAAGTATTTACGTTTTTCTTTTGTTTTTGTTTATGTTTTCCATGTTATTGTTGGACCATGTGCCCGCCCCCCAACGCTATTCTTATTCTTCTTTAAGCGATATATCCATGAGGGTGATTCTAACGTTTTGATTGGTTCTCAGAGCGTGACGTCATATATTTACATCAATGCTATTCCACCAATGCTAGCTCGTGTTTCTCAACCAAACTTAACCTATCCTAATATAACTTAAACTAACTTAATTTAAACTAACATGATTGAAGTTAAATTGACTTTCATTCAACCTAAAATAACTTAAACATAACCTTAACTCTGTCTAATTTTATCTAAGCTAACTAAAATAAACTTAAGATAACGTGAAGTAAACTAACTTAATTTAACATGATCGACGATAACGTAACTTATACCAACTCAATCTAACCTAACCTAACTTATACCAACTTAAATCTAACCTAACCTAACTTAAACCAACTTAATCTAACCTAATCTAACTTCACCCAAGAAATAAGTTTATCATCAAGTCAACATAACTTATCAGGTAACATCACGTTCTGGGAGTCAATCACCTGCCTAATTAAATCACCTGTGGGATTTTATAGCTTAAGGGGGAAAAAAATTAACTCCCTTTGATACCGAGGCCCTTAAACACCCCCTAAGATGCTTTTAAGACCTACAAGAACCCTTTCAGATTCTCAAAGACTCTCACAGTACCCTTAGGATTAATTTATTTTTGATGATAAGGAAACAAAATCGATTTATGGTCGTCTGTGAAAAATTTTGCCCCAAGTTTTCACGAATTAGTTTTTTGTTGGAATTTTAATGAGTTATAAATTAATTCCCAAATATTCGTAAGTTTTAATTTCTCCTCTAACCAGATATGAAATTATAACTAAATAGCTCACATAACCTAGAAAATAAATATATATATATCAAGTCAGAAAATGTTGTCAAAATTAACTCTGAGACTCTACCATACTTTAGATGTTTGACCTTATCATCAATGGTAATAAATCCGGATGTACTGGATGTGTCTTACGAGAACCATAATAACTGAGGTGTTAATGGCAGCGTCTCTATCCTAAACAACTATGTGTTCCTAACTATGTATATATATACCACTATTATCCATGCATCAAAGTGTCATAGAGGAGTGTTTTGTGTATACCTTCCCACTCCTTCCCACTCCCACTCCCTTTCCCTCTCCCCGTCTCTCCCACTCCCCCACATCTCCTTACCTATCATGAGGATAATGTACATAGACCAGTGTCCATCATGGTAGCCCCTGTGTCTGGCTCTGGTTATATCATGTTGAAATGCTCGTGAAGAAAAAGTGATATGTATTATACAGAAGTAAGTGTGTATAGAGATACGTGGTTGTGTGTGTGTATGTGTGTATGTGTGTGTGCGTGTGTGTGTATGTGTGTGTGTGTGTGTGTATGTGTGTGTATGTGTGTACTCGGACATTTGCACACATACAAAAATTCATCAACACACACACATACATACATACACACACACGTAAACTTAAACACACACACACATACATACACACAAACACACACACACTCACACACACACACACACACACACACACACACACACACACACACACACACAAACAAACAAAGTGAAAGGATTATTCTCCTTTCTTATTTTGATTACTTCTTGATTACTTAAGATATACTGTAGAACTATGGTTATGCCGGGTATAAATGGCTTGACTCACTTTTAAGTAATATGACTCACTTATAAATGGTCTGACTCACTGATAAGTAACCTGACTCACTTATAAATGACCTAACTGACTCATAAATTACCTAACTTACTTATAATTACTCTAACTCACTCATAATTGACCTAAGTGTAATGACTCCATCTTAAATGGCTCGGCTTGCCCATAAATGACCTGCCTTAGACCTGACCTACAATGGCCTGACTCGTGTAAATGACTCATTTGTCTATTCATTGTGTGACTCATTCATGAATCCTAAGAGTCACTTATAAAATGACCTGACTTATAAATGACTGACTGACACTGACTTATGACTAATTACAGTGTCTTATGACTAAATGACAGTGAATCATGACTGACAGTGACTCGTGACTAATTGACCGTGACTCATGACTAAGTGTCAGTGATTCATGACTAATTAAGAGTGACTGGTGACTAAAGAACAATAACTTATGACTAAATATCAATAACTTATGACTAAACAACAGTAAATCATGACTAACTAACACTGACTCCTGACTAAATAGCAGTGACTTATAAAACACTCAAGACCACAACAAACATTTACCTGGATGTGAATTATTAATGTTGTGTTCGTCGTTCATATACCACACAAGATGGCTGTCAACCAGAATGTAAACAAACAGTGCGAGTGTATCAAGGGATCGCGAATGTAAGAACGATAAACTACAAAAAAAAAACAGAGAATCATATCTGTAGAAATTGTGTGATAGTTTTAAAGTGGAGAAATGTGCGAAAGAGTTCAGATTTGTAATGAATATATAGTGAAATATACCCTTTAGTGTATGATTCAGTATATTCGGGTGTATTGCTTTAATTTGGAGAAAGACTGAGTGTACAGGAAGAGAATATTATTTATACTTTGATGTGATGTTCGGTAAAATGTCTTAATTACTACAAAAAATATATATAAAAACAACTGTGGGAGATTCTTTTACACTGAAAAGCTGAAAGTATTTTGTTGTCGGTTAGTAGACAGTTATTGCAATAAAGATGTCTGATTGGCCACAACTAGCATCGTTTTCTTGACCTTTTCTCGTGTTTAAGTGGAAAATTAAGAGTTGGAGTAATACAGTACAATATTTCAAGGCAAAGCTACACACACACACACACACACACACACACACACAAAGAAATAATGTTAAAATCAATAAAATAATATGTTGGACAGTCGTGAGCAGAGTAAGTGAAACGTGGGTGGTGTTAACCGTAGACTTTCACAGTGGCTGGCCGGGTGGTGCGCGTGTGGTCTGGCGAGTGGCGACACACTGACACACGACTTTTTAATATTGTCAATTAATAACTCTCTCATCTCTCTCTCTTTTACACACACATACACGCACACAGCCCAGTCCTAACCATTGTAGAAATTATCAACACCTAATTATTATATATCTTAATTGTATCACTTAATTACGTGTACATCATTTGTAAATCAAGAGACCCATTCCCCATTTATGTAATTGTATATTTTCAGCCTTCCGGCTGCCATGCTCTTTCAATAAACCGTTAATTATTATTTTATTACATACACACACACACACACACACACACACACACACACACACACACACACACACATACACACACACACACACACACACACACACACACACACACACACACACACACACACACACACACACACACACACACACACACACACACACACACACGTCTTGGATTTGATTCCCGAGCGTGTTAAAATTTCTAACAAGTTTCTATGCTTCACTTAACCCTGTGTACCTACCTCTGATTGAAGCCCCGGTTGTTTCATTATTTGTCGAATATCTCTCTCTCTCTCTCTCTCTCTCTCTCTCTCTCTCTCTCTCTCTCTATCTCTCTCTCTCTCTCCCGCCCACACGTTACGTCACGCCCTCCCCACACAAGAAACACCCACCTTTACACTAGCAGGAGATGTAGCGCGTTGTTTGGGTTCTCCCGGTGGACGTGACGGGAGGTGAGGCGGAAGATTTATCACACAGCGAGCGTCAACATTCTCGTCCATCTACCTGGAGAGAGAAGGGGGTTTGCTTACACCTGGCCTACTACACCTTCCATCATCACGGTGTATTGTTGACCTACAGCTGATCGCCTCATCCAACACCGTCTGACCTTACATGGGTAAAGGTCATGCTTGAGGAGAGGAATAGGAGAGAAATAGGAGACAAATAGGAGGAAAATAGGAGGTTATATTTTTTTTTTGGGGGTACTTGCCAACAGTGCGTAACAGAGACGTGACCGACCGCCCAAGTGGCTAATAAGCTGATCATTGGTAGACATACAGACAGACAGACACAGAAGCTACCATAAACATTATACACAATAAATTCGGACTTTTCTTATAATCGTAAAAAGAAATTATGCTAAAAAAAATCCCAAAAGCTAAAAATTAATAAAAAGTGACTTAGAACCATCATAAAAAAATCCAGCCTTAATAATCCACAAAGTTTATTCATTTTTATTTTCATGGAATCTCACCAATCATAATTATATTGACGGGTCCTTGTCTAGAGTTAAAAAAGATGTCACCAAAGTTATTAAATTCCGAGACGTAAAAGTTACCAACCTCAAGGGTCATTTAATGAGGTCATGGTAGTATCTTAAGTCGAGGAACACAGTCTTCTTGGAATCTTAATTAACTTACTCTGAGTTAACGTGAATTTCTCGGTCATTCACAGTCTTATTTCTCTTTCATACATACATTACGCTACGAACTGGTGGCTCTAGATTGTGTCAAACTATAGGTTCACCACTCCGGTAACAGTAATAAGTAACAAGGTCACCAATGAAATTAATAAATGAAAGGAATAAGCAATACACTAGAGTAAATTAAAATACAAATTCATTAAACAAAAGAAATAAAACATCTGACAAAAGTACATACATACATACATACATACATACATACATACATACATACATACATACATACATACATACATACATACATACATACATACATACATACATACATACGTTAATAAATATATAGTTTTATCGATAAATTGATGAGTACCAACACAGCCTTGTAAACAGACAGATGGATAGACAGACAGACATAAAAGCTAGACAGACAAATAGGTAAACAAACAAACAGACAGTAAAACAAACCCACATACAGATAAAAACATTACACAAACATTATATACCGTACATATTTCCCTCCTTCCTCCAGATAAAAATATAAAAAATAAATAAATAAATAAAAATTATAAAAAA